TGCAGCAAAGGGGGAGCAGCCCCCTCCATCTCAGTGCCGGGGGGCTGGGTGGACCCCCGCCCATGGTTGTGGGTCTCAGCTCCATCTTGGGGCACCTCCTTTGCCCCCCTTCCTGAGGAGGGGTCAGTGGTGAGGCTGTGTCTGAGGAGGAGGAGGCAATTTAGAGAGGGGGGTGAGCACTGAGGGGGCCAGGTGTCCTGGGGGAGAGGGGGTGGGAAAACCAGTGGGCAGGAGGTGAAACAGGGGGGATTAGGAGTGTAAAAGAGAGGCTGGAGGTGGATGGAGCCCCTCAGGCTGGCGGGCAGAGGGGGGTCCTGTCCCCTCCGCAGCCCCTCTTCAGCCCTGGTCCCTCTCCAGCTGTGCTCTGCGGGCAGCAGCAGCGCAGGGCACCCCCAGCTCAGCCCCCTTCCCAGACCCCCTCCCCACCACCCTGTGTCCCTCCCCAGGTGGTCAGGACACTTTTCCCAGCCCTTTTTTCTCCCCTCCCGGGCCATTCTCCATAAGTCAATGTTTCCTCTCGGGTCTGTTCTACCTTCCTCAGTGAGGATTACAAGCAGCACTTCACCCCCCGGGACCTGCTGGTGTTTTCAGCTCGTCCCCTCCTGGTTTATCCCACCCACTACGCCGGGGACAGCAACTGGCTGAGTGACACCGAGACCTCCACCATCTGGGATGACGATGCCAAGAAGACGGACTGGGCTGGCTCACAGAAGAGCCTGAGGGACTCGCAGAGCAGCACCAGCCACCTCCGTTCTGCTGCCCGTGATGAGCTCTGAGGGTGAGCAGAGCCGTGGGACCCGGGTGGGTGGGCACAGGGACAGGGGACCGAGGGGCTGGGGAGCATCTCCATGATGTGTCCTGGCCACCTGGATTCTCTTTGCTGCACTGCAGCAGCTCTCCCCATCAAAGCATCAGGAAATGGAGATGAGACCTTCTTCTCCAGGGAGGAAAAGGGATGTGGGACATTGATGTCCCACGTGGGGCTGTGTTGGGCTGGAGGGACCAGGGGACCGGGTCCTGCTGCTCCCCAGTTCCTTCAGCAAGGAGGGGACAACGGTC